TACTGGCCTGTTCGATGGCAGGGTGTAAATTTGAGTTGGTGGGGCTTATAGGATAATCCATTTTGTGGGGAGAAAAAAAATGGCAAAAAACAATGTATGCAGTCCAATTGCTACACAAACTATGTTGTAATTTAATGTTAATAAAAGCTACCTTTCCTTTTCAATCTGCAGAGCTGTAAAATTCAATGCAATATGGCAATGTGGAGGCGTTCTGTAAACAGCGTACAGAACGCCTCCAAAAATATAATTTCTCTAGTCCTCTTCCAGGATGGCACACCAGATATATGACTAGCTCCGCCTGACAGGAAACACAATTAAAAATTGACAGAGTTAAATTCCCTGCCCTTCTCTCCACTCCTCATTTTTTTATTGTGTTTCCTTATAGCAAAACATTTGTTTTTTTTGGCAGACCTTGGGCTGGAGGTCTCCCTTGGGGGGTTGAGTCAGCTGAGTCGGGAAGGGCAGGCTGTAACTTACCCACTCCAGGGGACCCAGTTGATCGAAATTCCCGGGCACAGGGGAGGTGTGCTTGACATTCCAGGGATGGGCGCCCTTCCTCCCTCTTCTGAGGCAGCGTGGAGGCATGTCCCGGAGAGGATCCGCCTGCAAGGTGACTTTTGGCAGGTATGGGGTTCACCGGCTGGCAAGTTTAATTGTGCGTTGTGCCCCTGTAGGGTGAACGGGGCGGCTGTGGTGGAGTACGCTACTGGTTCTGCCAGGTATAGGTAGGAGAGCCCAGGGCGCAGCACCAGAAATGGGAACAAGGCTGCAGATGAAGCCACACTCTCAGTAGGACTTCCAGCGAGGGTGGGACTTCTGCCTTAAAGATGGCGGCACTGGCCGATGTTTCCTTCCTCATGAGGCCAGTGAGGAGCCTCCAGGAATTACCCCTGGGAGTGTGGACCTAGGAACACGGCGAAGGTGACGCAGTCCCGAAGGGCCCTGCTAAGGATGGAAGGCGAGGCAGTGGCTGCAGCCAGCGAGAAGACTACTGGTGGTGAGTCTGACTCAGCTGATTGGGAAGAGGGGCCTTACCCACTCCCCTACAGTTGTTCTTAGGGGGAAGGAATATATGTTAGCCTGGGCCCCTGTTTATCTTCCTTAGAGCTGTGTGGAACTGCCCAGGAGAGTGCCTTCAAGACACCTAAAGCTAAAGCGCCCCCCCCACTCCGAACAGTGTAGTTATTGTAATGCTAAAATTCTGCAAGACCATGCCAGAACCTTTTGCTACAAGTGTATCCACAAGTTGTCAGGGAAAGAAACCTCGGCGGTTATGAAGGAGTTTTTGTAAGCGCAAACAAAAATGTTAGCCACCTTACAATCCTTCAAGACAGCCCTGACATCCAGGGAGGTGGATGCCTGGTCCTCGAGAGAAGGGTCTTCTTCTCAGGAGGGAACTTGGAGGGGGTTGGGTCCTTCATCCTCTCAGGTCACAGAGGAGGAAGACCTAGAAGAGGCAGAGGTTTCTGGTAAAAGCTCCCTAGAAGAGGGGGAAGATTTGGAAGGTGCTAGTCAGGCTAGCGAGGAATCTAGACTGGGCAGACACCTTTTTGCCATGGAAGATATGGAAGGGTTCCTAAGGGCTATTTATGCCTCAGGACATCCCAGAACCACCAACGCATGTCTTCGCCCAGGACAAGTTGTATGGGGGTTGGGTGAGGCTGCAATCTAGGATGCTACCTGTGCACCAAACTCTCAAAGATACTGTCTTAAGAGAGTGGAAGGATCCCGAGAGAGCGGTCCTAAAATTGAAGACTTGGAAGAGGCGGTACCCCTTTGGGGTGGAAGAGAAGTTCTTCAAAACTCCCAAATTTGACTCGGTGTTATTGCAAGTATCTAAAAAGTCTCTCCTGTCCTTTTGAGGAGTCTGGTAACCTCAGAGATCAGATGGACTGTAGTTCCGAGATGCTGTTGCATAGAGCCTGGGATTCCAATGCCGCTACTATGGTCTCAATTTTTGATTGTGTTTCCTGTCAGGTGGAGCTAGTCATCTCTCAGGTGTGCTGTCCCTAAAGATTTCCCAGAAATACCATTAGCAGTAAGTGTAACTGGTACGATGCAAGTCAGATTTTAGTAATAGAAATGTAAGTTCTGGTGAGATATTCCCCAAGGGTTAATCACTTCTAAAAGGATTTAGACACTGCAGGTTTCCTCATTGGAACACTGCAAGTGCATCAGATGATTAATATTGAACCAGACCCTCCCATTCAGAATGAGTATAAGATCAGATCAAATGGTAGGAATCTGCTACAAAGTTTTTTTTTTTTTTTTTTTTTTTTTTTTTTTTAATCCCTGCAATATACATTGATCATCCAATGGAGTTTTTTTTCCCTCAGCAGTAGTGGAGTTTTTCTTTAAGCATGGCAGATGTGGAAGCCTTGTATATCATATGTACCTGAGATCCATGAAGGTCACTTTAAACATATGAAATTAGGAGAGTTTCTCATGGATGACTGATGCCTAGTACCTTTAATTCATACAGACTTGAATTACCCATTTTATAGGACAACTGAATATTTCAAAGAATAAAGCTAATAAATCTCCCAGACACATTGGTATGGCACAAGTTTCCTTTGTAAATAATATGCTCCTAAGTACACATCTAATCCTGTAATTTTGCTGCTACTGTACAGCCCTATAGAGCAGCTGCCAGCACAGTTAGG